CTGAACTGCGAGCTGACGTCGCAGCACTCTCAGAAGGTCGAGGCCACAATCTACATGTGCTACCTCCCAATCGACACAACCTCGCACGGAATTGGTATTTGGTTGAAAAATCTACAAACAGAGGTAAGGTTAAGCTACTGGTAAAGGTAAAGAAAGACGTGAGAGAGAGGGGGGGGGTGTAATAAGGACGATATAGTCCATAGAGTTATTAGCCAATCATGAGAGACCTAATATATTTCTTGTAGTTAACAGCCAATCATGAGAGACTTGATATATTTCTTGTAGTTAACAACCAATCACGAGAGACTTGACTTGTATGTAAACTTTCCATCAGAAACGAGGCCATTACGACCTGTCCAAAATCTTTTTTTATCCACAACTGTGTTCATCTGTGTTCAACTGTGGTCGGGGTTCAAACTCTTTACCATCGTGTCGACAGTTCAAAGCACAAACCAAACAGTCGTGCTTGTGAAATCGTTTATACTTCAATCCACCGTCTTTGGGGGCTTCCTTTTTCCTTGACATCATTTCAATCATCGTTTCTGTCAATATATTGGGTGGTTAGTACAAAACATTAGATAGCGTTGTGAGCGAGAGGTCTCGAGATCCAAACTTGACTGGTATTCTGATGACGTCTCTTGTGTCCATCCAACTGACTTTTGTTTAGGAAAGAAACGGCGGTTGGTCGTTGTCTGGGACACATGACACTCTTGTCGTTCATAGATCTCAATAAAATAAATCCCACACAACTCCCCCTTTTTAGACACTGCGCCCACCCTTACGAAACCATAAATTATATCCTCTTTGAAAGCCCTTCCTAATCCACCTTAGGCAGATCCTACTTCCACTACAGCCCAACATAACCAACACCCTGTACGGCAGGGCTGAACAACTGAAGAAAATAGCAAACTCTTTTTCCTTGGCACAGTCTGCAAAAGAGCTCACAGCTCAGCAGCAAAAAAGCTGGCTGGAAGAAGAAGTCTTTCATAGAAATCGAAGGTCTGAATTTTGAGCTTGACATCCCTTTAATAGAATAGAATGCACCAATAAAAAGTCACTCTATTGTCCCAAATGAGTTTCAAAACAAACAACTTTTCAAAGTCCGATCCTAACAGATTGAAGGATTAGATTTTTGTGTTTTTGTGTCTTCTTCAACGTCTATAGGGTAAGGAGATAAAAGTGACCATCAAAGTGGCCAGCCTGACCGACATTGTGTCCAGCACCGACGAAAACCAGAAAGCCAGTGTCAGTTATCACAGGTGCCAGCACAATGACGTCATCAAGGCTTTAAGAAAACTGACCAGTCGAAATGTACACGTTGAGGTTTGTTGTCGTACAGTGTGTTTTCCCACTAGCTGGTTTAGCCCGTCAACCTGTGGGAAGGAATGCAAAACATTTTTAGTTTTGTTGACGTTAGGGCTAGGGGGGTTTGTTTTTTTTCCGGTCTGGGAACTTGTATATTTCCTTCATGTCACTGGCAGTATTAACGCAAAAGCATGTTAATTATTGTTCAGTCTTACAAACAGCACTCAAGGCTTCAATTGTGCATTGTAGACAGAAATTTGGAGGGCTAGGTAGGGACATTCAAGGACTGGAAATGGCCTGCGGGCAGTAGTTTACACATCACTGTTTAAAATAAGTATCTGATTGATATCTGTATTGTAGTATCTATGTAAAGAAATTGCTTCCTACCATTTTTAATTTGGTAAGACGAAAAATGGTTAAGTGTTTGTTGCATTTCTTTCCCTTGTTACGGCTGCTATTGATAGCTTATATTTTTAAATACATTTATTATGGTCTTTAAAGATTTTGCTAAGTTTTATCAACGTAGTTTGTAATCAAATATTAAAAAGGAATTAAAGAAGTTTTTAAGTCCTAATTAACTTTTTTTTTAAAGATGCACTCATAAAACCTCGGTAAAAATAGTTTTCACCTTTACCTGTAGCACCTTTGGACAGGGCCGGCCTTAGATAGTTTCTTAATTGGTGGGCCCAAATGAAACAGAAAATAAAAAATAAAAAAATGACGCAATTTATTGAAAACCTAAGGTACTCCAACAATGACATTGAGAGCAAGTTTTTATTATAGCTTTTATATAGCACTACTTTCATGCTTATAGCATGCTCAGAGCGCTTTTGGTCCAATCTCATTTGTGGAGGGGAGGAAGTATCTAGGAGTTGGTTTTCCGTGCTGCCTTTAGGCGCTCAGTAAACACAACTCTGCCCGAGTCGGGTGTCGAACCTCAAGCCCCCTTCTAGGTAGCCAAGCCAAGCTTAGTTTCAAACGCACTTGACCACGCTTCCCACCAAGTTTCGCTATTTCTTCTTAAAACAAAATTGTTTTGATTCCTGTGCCAAGAGCCCATCAGTTGACGGTCCTAGGCTGCTGCTTAGCTTGCCTATCCCTAAGGCCGGCCCTGGTTTAGGGCTTAAAAATTATCTGTCGATCGTCTTTCTCCTTTCCTCTCTGTCTTTTGCCTTGACTAGAATCGCTTTCATTTATTGGTGTTGTAATCACAACGCTATCTGCCTCTTCTTTTCCCTGGTACTATTCCCGACTATGCAGGAAGGTCTTTGCAAACCATGAGGACCTCGTAATATGACCATACAGTTAAAGTATGCGTTTTCTGAATATGGTCAGCAGGTCGTAGTGAGGCCCCATCGCCATTGTGGTCCTATTTGGAATTTTTGATTTGTGATGCTGTCTTTGTAGGTAATGCCTAGGATCCTTGTATGTCATCTCGATTTCCTGGCTACTAACTAATACGCCATCTATTGTCTTTTAGGCTATAACCTCAAAAGACTGGACACATCTTATGAAGCTACTGACTGACCGGACCTCTCTTCAAGCGTTAGACAAGAACCAACACCACGCCACAGAGGTTTTGAACTCAATCCTACAAACAGAACATCACAACTGATCATGGCCATCCACATACATGTTTCTTGAGGATAAATAGATTTATGAATTTGGCAATACTTCTGACACCATCTGATACTTAATGATTGTTATTACTCCACTATTGTCATCTTGTTGTCAACGTTTTATTGTTTCCTTTACGATTCTTAAGCTGGACTCGCAGCTCACATCATTTCAAAAACAATTTGTTAACTCTAAATTATAGCTCAAAGGTTAACTTCAGCTTACCCCAGTTTAGAGATAGGAGTTTTTTACAAGCATATTTTTCCAGATTTTTTTCATGAAAACACACACACTTTCACACACACACACACACAAAACATGTAAGGATTTTAAGAGATGATATTATTATGTTTTGTTGATAAAACGTATGGCCAGGTTGTTTAAGCTCTAAAAAAATATTTTCAGCATTGGTAATATAACCAAAAAAATTTAAACTTGTACACCAATTCATCTCCTACAAAACCTTCAAAATATAATAGGCCTATAATAATGTATTATAATAAAATAATGTCTCAACATTTGGACCTAGATTCATTGAAAGGAATCCTCTTTTGTAATCCACTTCTGGAACTCTGGTTGTAGGTCTAGGTTGGGTTGTAGCTCCACTATTCCAACTAAATTGTTGTAGGCGTATTAGTTTCTTCATACACAACCTAGATAAAATCTTGAGTAAACAACTTTTGAAGCAAATATGAGCTGACTTTTATTGACACTATTTAAGGCTTTCAGTTCCAGTGTAGAAACACAAAATGTTGAGCAGTTTAAACAAAATACTACTCACTTCAAGACTACACGCGTCATTCTGTCTCTTCTCACTGGCTTTCATCGGCCAATCTCCGCTCAACTCCTGTGAAAGTCGAACTCGTCATTACATCAGAATCTATTCAGCCAATAGAAACTCGCCCATTCACCCCATAACACTTGCCACACTAAAATAATTGTCTATAGTACCTATACCTTTATTGTGGTTGTTTATTTGTTGTTATTTTTTTTTGCCCATGCACCAAATCTGTTTTCCAAACGTTGTCTCCATGACGCAGTGATAGTGATCCTACAATTTTTCACACTTGTATTTGTTCGAAATCCTTTAGAAACAAAACAAAAAGAACACGAAGGACATGAATTCTATAATTCTAGACAAACTATGTTGCTTTGGAACACCCCTAGGTCTAGGATCAATAGGGTGACCTGAAAAAATTCTATTGAAATCAATTTATTAAAACAGATGCTGTTGGTTGTTGTTTTATTATATATAAAGTGTTGTGATTATTTATTTTTTTTCTAAATTCTATTATTTCAAATTTGTCGTTTTGTTTTGTAGGTTGGTTAGTGGATCTCACTCTGAAGAGTATTTCATGAGCTTTGCTATCTTTCTGGCAATTTTGATTTATTTAAATTGATATTTTGTTGTTTCAGAATTGGTTCAATTTGACAGAAAAGTAGCTTCAAAAACATTTTGTGTTTCTTGTGTTAAATTTCAGAGTAAATGAATGTTTCTAAGATGAAGAAGTGGATTATATTTGGGCAGCCATAAACTCTTCAACACATTTCGTTTTACTGATTAAGTACAATTTGTTTTGGATGCAATATTTTTCATTATACATGTGACCTTGTCTTCCCACAACATGGAAGTTTTGACCCTAATCTAGTCAATTTTATTGTGGTTTTTTATCATATAATTAAATTATCCTTTGCTATTCTTTAGCAGTTCAATTTTTTGAATTTAGCGACAAGGATATTTTTTTTTATTAATCAAGGAAATGAATTTGTCTAAGCGGCATGCATAATTTGCCTAATTGGACTGTATCTTTGACTTTCTCTTTTTTTTATCTTTTGTCTTTATTTCATTTATTATCTAAATATAAACATGTTGAACAGAGACTGGACAGACCATGTCTTGATACTTATACAATGTAAATATTTTACCGTTTTATACGTTTTTGTTGTATTCCTTCTGGAAGTTTGTAACTTTAACCATGCACTCTTGTCCATGACTTAGCTGTTTCATTGGCTTATAGTGTTCTAGAATAGACTGCCAGGAATTGTTAATACTGGACCAAACATTGTAAATGGCATTTGCTTGTTTTTTTAAATGACTTGTGGAAAGAGATTTTATAATCGTATTCAAAGTTTTATGCCTTTTTTCTTTATGTGACACGTTCTAAGTTAAAGTTTTTAACATATTTCGATGTACACAATAAGAGAAGGTAAGGAACCAGCTGGAAAAGCGCTTAGTTTCTCAATTTTTCGTCACGAGTTCAAATCCCATGGAAGCCTGGGATCAATGAACTATTTGGAAGCACTTGTAAACCTCTTATTGGACAATCCAAAGACAGTTGGTCTTTGTGCTGGCCACATGACATCCTTGTCTAATTTCATTAATAAAAATAGTTTTACATCATCGACTTAAGGAACATCAAGGTCTCAACGTGGAACCTTGGCCTTAGAAATCAAGACTATCCTATTTGCTCGAATATATTAAGGAGACAGAATTATTTTGAAAATAAAATTTAAAAATATCTTTTAAAATATGGCATTATGTGTTTCGTGTTTGTCTTATAAAATGTCCACGAAATTGTATGTCCATTGAGATTAAAAGAACCCTCTCAGTATGTGTGTTCAACAAGAAATGAACCAAAGAAAACGTAGACCTACCCAGCTGCCTATTGGTGATGTCGTACACAAATCCACAAGTAACAACATTTTTGCTGTGCCAAATAAGGAAGTATTGATACATATTTCAATAAAGCTTGGAATGATTTGTGTACACATTGCAACACCGTTAAATGATTTGTGTACACTTTGCAACACCGTTAAATGATTTGTGTACACTTTGCAACACCGTTAAATGATTTGTGTACACTTTGCAACACCGTTAAATGATTTGTGTACACTTTGCAACACCGTTAAATGATTTGTGTACACTTTGCAACACCGTTAAATGATTTGTGTACACTTTGCAACACCGTTAAATGATTTGTGTACACTTTGCAACACCGTTAAATGATTTGTGTACACTTTGCAACACCGTTAAATGATTTGTGTACACTTTTCAATACCATAGAACCAAATTTTTAAGTTTTTGTCGATTCTAGCACCATTTTTTTAAAATTATTATTTAGTTGGCAACTGGGGGCGTGGTGGCTGAGTGATAAGTCCGCTCGGCTTCCGAACCGTGAAGGGGGGGGGGGGGTCACCCGGGTTCGAATCCCAGACAAGACTGAGATCTAAATGGGTACTTGACATTAGTTAGGGGAAAAAAAAGTCGTTGTGCTGGCAACATGACACCCTCGTCAACAGTCGGCCATAGAAAAAGATGACCTTTACATTAACTGTCCTTTTGATTACAAGTCCTTTACGTTACCAGTTGGCAAGTGAAATCTTTCAATATGGGTCCTTCACATTGTTTTGTCTCTTTATGTCAAAATCTCTTCCTACCTCACTTGAACATGCCCTTAATCCGCCATCTATTGTCTTTTCTCTCTTTGCGCTTTTATTGCACAGAGGGATTTCGTCACCTTCGCCTATCCCTTAGTCTATTGGACCGTTGAAGCACCACACAAGATCTGTTGATTGTCTTTCTCCATCCCGTTCTGTCTTTTGTCTTGGATAGAACCTCTTTAAATGGGAGGCCCGTTCATTCTTTTATGTTATCTTCCCATCGCTTTCTCTGTCTGACTCTTTTTCTTTTCCTACAATTGTTCCCTGAAGGAAGGTATTTGCGAGCCCTGAAGACCTTGTAATATGAGCATAGAATTTTAGTTTGAGGATTTTTTTGTTTGTTTATTTTAGAATAGCTAGCAGGTCATCATGGGGTCCAATCGCTGCAGTAACCCTGTTTCTAATCTTTTCGTTTGTGATTCGGTCCTTAAATGTGATACCTAGGATCCTTCTGTAGCATCTCAATTCCCTTGCTAGGATCCTCCTCTCTAGCTCTGCAGTCAGCGTCCAGAGAGATTTCAAGAACGTCAACAAGGATTTGAATATCTCTTCTTTTGGGATTCGGTCCTTAAATGTGATAACTAGGATCCTTCTGTATTGTAATCAAAAAGCAGATTACTATGATTAACTTTAGGCGTGAAAATCACCAATGTTGGTGTGCCGCTAAATCGTGTCAGCTGTAAAGAAATATTTGAGAACCATTGGTGTGTTCACCTTTAATTAATTCTGATATTTTTAGAACACTTGATTTCGTGTAGCACCAAGTACTGCAAAAAAAGCGCATATATTTATAAGATTATTCACAATTAATATTTGTCAGATCTGACAAAATGTAAATCTCAAGTTAGTTTGTATTGTCTCGGAACTTTCTTTAATTTTCGGGCTTAGATCTATAGCCCTGTTATTATTAGTATAGCCTCTCCTATGAGTTTTCACACTCAACTAGAGATATAAATAATATAAATGAAGCTTCAATGCTGCTTCTTCTTGTTCTCTACACCGGATGCACCAAAAAGGATAGCTATTTATAGTTTCTTTGTTTGTTATTTCTCGCCGTAGATGAAAATCGCTGATTATAAAATGTAGATCTAAAAGCATGACATTCTTTTATGAATACATTTTAAGTTCATGTTTTTAATTTACAATGTTTTGGTCTCTTCTGGTGACGTCATCAAAATGTTCGGAACTCTCGAATCCAACGCACTGAGGTCTCCATGTTCCACGTCACGGCTTCATGGGTTCTTGCCCGTAATAGCGAGAAACCCTTTTGGCCAACAAAGGGGCCGGTTTCCTATAATTTCTCGCAAATTTAAGTACCACCATCGCGATCATCATCACAAGAGCTCGCCCGACCATCTTTTCCCGTCTGTCAGCCATGTTTTTTGAGTCCAATACGCCGTATCGGACAAAGTATATACCAACTTAAGTCAGTAGATCTAGATTTAAGTCAAGTTTAGGAGAGTATTGTTACCAAACAAAGAGCGACCAAAACAAAGGAGGCTGCAGGAGCCTTACAAGAAAAATCCAGCCACCAGGTAAGTGTCCACTTTAGTTCTCTTTAATGAACTGGTCCACAGCATTGGCCAGACTAACCATAGATCTAGATCTATCCCGGAAGTTTAAACACGTATGTTGCATTATTGCAAGAATCGTAGAATCTAGACTCTATCTTATCTTATTACTTATAAATTCTAGACGTTACATCAAGAGAGAAGTTGATTAAGTCATAGGCGTGTCCCTGTGTCAATCTATTAAATGCATGTAAGAAATGACTTAACTTTTGCCAAGTCGTTGGTTTTCCTGGCTGACTCAGACAAGCCATTCCATGCACTAGGGAAGAAGTATTTCTACAATTTCATTCTAGCATATGGAATAAGAAATGTGCCTTCATCTTTGTGTCTTTCTGAGTATTATAGATCTATTAGGTTTTGTTTTTGTAGATCTATTTGTAAATTATGATTCAGACTCGATTTGAATTAGCCTATAACTATAAGCCTCTAGTGACACTCTAGTCTAGATCTAGACCTTCTAGGCATCTATAATCTAGAAATCTGTATTACTCTAGATCTAGATTAAATTCTCTAGATTCGAAATCATCATGTTATGTAATTTAATAGATCTACTTTTTAGCTAGGCGATTAGGTCTAGATATTTTAGATATATGTGGTGGGTTTGTCACAGAACAAACTAAATGACATGACGAAGGTAACTCGTAGGACGATTCCAAACTGTTTATTATACATTAAAGACCTGCCAAAGGCAAACATAAAACATAATTACAAATGAACATAAACTAAATATAATTAACAGGCCTAAATATTAGATCTAACGAAAAACAAAAAAGAAAATCTTATAGTGTGAACCAATCATCTCTTTGACAAACACAAGAGAGAGACATGGACACACCAACAAACAGTATACAAATAAATGACAACATAGTTCTCTAACAATAAATCAACTAGTTGTTCTACATAACACTAACATATATATACATTGTTTGAAGAGTTCCGCTCTTTACTTTCCTTACAAAAAACTACAACAATTAAATAGAACAAATCTTTACACTCACAAATACACTGTTTCTTAAAAGCCAATATTTACACACTGGTTGTAAAAATACAATTACAAGATGGACAGTTAGCATTCTATAGGAACTATTTCATCTAGTATACTACAGGTACGCATTTCAATAAATGAATTCATCTACATGCTGGCTTCTAAAAATAAGAATAGTCCAACATGAACAAAAACCGCGGTAGTGATATTCTATATAAACTACTAATTAAAATTACAATCTAATATGAATAAGTAAAATGTGATTACCTGCAGCCATACGTAAACACATGGTGTAGAACCAGGAACAAAAGGGAGTGGAGTCGACGTAGGTCCAATAACATACGGACACTACAGTGACAAAAGATGACGGTGGAATGGACAGTGCACACGTTGTCTGCCTTTTTATGCGCGGACACAAGGTGCCATTTAGTGGGAAGGGTCACGTGGATATTGGGGTGGCCGGTGTTTCCTGAAAAGGTATCCACTCCACTACATATAGAACCATAGCTACATCAGACATCAGCCTTAGTAGATTTACACAACTAAAAGTACTAAAAGAATCTAGATCTATAAAGACCTTCAGATTTGTCGAAATCTTAATGTAAAGATATAAAGTCTACTTAGATCAAGATGTATCATGTATACAGATAAAGTCTACTTAGATCAAGATGTATCATGTATACATATAAAGTCTACTTTGATCAAGATGTATAATGTATACATATAAAGTCTACTTAGATCAAGATGTATGATGTATAGCCATGAAGTCTACTTGGATCAAGATGTATCATAAAGTCTGCGTAGATCAAGATGTATCTTAAAGTCTACTTAGATCAAGATGTATGATGTATAGCTATGAAGTCTACTTAGATCAAGATGTATCATAAAGTCTGCGTAGATCAAGATGTATCTTAAAGTCTACTTAGATCAAGATGTATCATGTATAGATATAAGGTCTACTTAGATCAAGAGGTATCATGTATAGATATAAAGTCTACTTAGATCAAGATGTATACTGTATTTCAATTTGATTTTTTGAAGTTCGTCTGTAGTCAGAAGTTGATTGATATTTCATGACAAAGAGATCTAAAGTAGAAACTTGTAATATAGCCCTTTTTTATTTAGAGCTAGATCTATAGATAAACCTTAAAATATACCATTGTACAGGCTAATCGATATCTAGGAACAGGAAATGTTTTTAAGTTCTATTTCAGCTGTTGTTTAGTGTCATGTTGTTTTTAGATATATTTGTGATTGAAGACAAAAGATAACTTTGACATTTGAATCTTTGCATTGAATGAATTGTTACACAAAAGTGATATAACAGACACGAGCATTACATAGGAGTGTTCATTTTTAGGCTGATTTACAGTTTCATAAAATGTTGCTATTGAGGTATCGCAGGGCCAGCCCTAACAATTGCGGGGCCCTATGCGAAACGGATGGCGCGGGGGCCCCGTCAGGCTAGGGATAAGGATAATAAGAGAAAACTAAGAGTTTGTGTTTAGGAAATAAATTTGTCTGTGCATTACATTTTGTTATTCAATGAAAGCTGACAACACCGGTTTTTTTTTTTGTAATCGCGTGTAGGATTGGCTTGTACCATATTGAATGACACCCCAAATTGACAATTTGGTCTATTTTTAAACGAGATTTTAATAATTTCAGGAGATTTCCAAGACTTTTTCGTATATTTTTTCAATTTCAAGCTATAATGGTTTAATTTAATAGTGTACACATAGAGTTGGCGCGGTGCCTATGAAAGTGCAGCGCCCACTGCGGCCGCATAGGTTTCAGTGGCCTGAGGTATTGATTGTCGACGATAATAATTTTTGATAGATGGCGCTTAAATTGAGACATTAACTTATAGTACTTATACAAAATGGAGACAGAAATATTAGATTTAAAAGAACATCATTAGTTTTATTAAATCTATTATTGTGAACTATGGTAGACTATATTGGCCTGACGAAAGCTTATGCCTGACACTATTCTGATCACTCTCTTCTCCCCTAGCTGCGTCCATGGAGACACGTCCGAAATAAGACTACAGCATGGCAAGGTTCGACTACATACTTGCCGTAACCATGGCCATATCCCTGGTAGGTCTGGCTTTTGTGTTCTTGGGGATTGTAGGTGTTAACCTGCCCGACACAGTTGTATCAATAAAATTAGTTTGACACACTAAAGCACCTAGCACGACACGAACACACCTAGTTGTGTGTGTGTTTAATGGTGAAAAGGTTGAGCACATTGAGATCTTGAACCTAGGGAGTAGAGGAAGTTGATTTGTCTATCTAAAACAGGAGTTCTCAACCTGTGGGTCGCGACCCCCATGGGGGTCGATTGACGATTTGCCAGGGGTCGCCAAAGACCATCGAAAAAATGGATTGTTTTTGTTAATTCTTCTATTGCTGTGTGTGTTTGCGAGGGGGGGGGGTCGCGGCAGAGTGGGGGATTGTAAAAAGGGGTCGCCGAGCATAAAAGGTTGAGAACCGCTGATCTAAAACAATATAATAACATGACTCGGCAAAGGTTTAAAACTGATAACGTTGAACTATACTCTGTAGCTCTAGATTTATATAAATACCTCTTTTATGGTAGAGGTGGTAACGCAGTGGGTTGTTGTTGTTGTTGTTGTTGTTTTTTTCTACACACCAATAGACATCATTTGTAATGGCCCTTAAATGTAGAGTACCTGGACACGTAGGTTTCAGGAATGAGCCAGAGAAGTGGGCATGTACACTGAGGCTGAGCCAAATGGACAAAGCCACGCGGTCATGTACTCAGAGCCATACAGGCATAGAGCTAAGTAGACATGTACAGAGGATCAAAATAATGCACACAAACCTGTTGTATTTGTTCTTCTAAACAGTACGAAGGTTCCATAGTAAATGTTTGCATAGAGGTTGGGTATTTATTGTGTGTTTAGAGTTTGATGCTAGGGAACTGCATTGCTAAATGTCTAGATAACTCCGTCAGATCCAATGGTTGCTGTTTAAGAACCACTAAAGACCTTGAGACTCTGAGGTCATTCTCAAGTCCCCCCCCCCCCAAAGCATTATAATTCTCGTTATCCGCAATGATTCTGTTTTATCGTGTAGAAAGTGTTGATGCTAATTCCAGTTTCATGCCCTGGTCAGAATTGTCCATTGTTTCGCCATATTTAATTCATCATTTTCTTTCATTAAAAAACATAAGGTCTCGAGTGCTGATTTCTGTATGTAACATGTCTGTAACATGTCTGCATCATTCATTGTTTCATCAACTAGTTTCACCTTTGACTGAGTGTTTGTTCCAGCAGTGTTTCCTTGCTCACTGTTGGTTGTGATTCTCTCCACAGATCTGGGGTATTGTTATACTGGCCTTGGGGGCAATCATGCGCTTCAGTCTTGGAAAGCTGATTAGCAACTACATCCATGGGCTGGGGGATCTCATTGACCTGAACGTCTGCGTCACGGCCAGTAAACAAAACATTTGCCCCGTGGAAATGAATGTTTCGGACGACATCAACCTGGGAGACTGGTCAGTATGTGTTGCTTTGTTCTTCTTTCACCATTTAGAATGTCCAGTAGTATATCATTACGTTTAAGTACTTGTACAATATTAGTTTGTAGCTTTAAGATATTTAAAAAAAAATCTTTTATCAATAGCTAATTTTTGTTTTTTGTCTGTCTGTTTGGCCCAAATCTTGTACCACGTTATGTCTCCCACTTCCCATGCTCGTATCAAGTTGAAACTTTGAAAAGTGATTCATAGTCAATGACAACACACGAATCAATCAGAAAATTGATCAGTTAGTCGTAATTAATTTTATTTTATATGGAAAATGTACAAAGCTAACGGGAGATAAGCCTTGTGTAGAGAATTACTTCGTACGCAAAAACTTGTAAACTAACACTGGATTATACAACCTTCTATATTATAAGTACT